AAAAGTTTTAAATGTAGTGATGTGATGAATTAAAAAAAACTGATTATATAAGCAAATGGTTACAGGAAAAAAAAATTAGCTGTTACAATTTCCTCTTTTTTTTTGGCTGCAATAACATTGAAATTTTAACTGCATTGGGTACAGCTTTTTCGTTTACTTTTTCTGCTTAAATTAGTGTTCAACTGACTTTGGCTTCAGTTTGCTTCTTTTAGATAAGTCGAAAGAAACATTACACATTTATATACCACTTTTTTACCCACTTTTACAGAAGGTATAAAGTAGTAGGGTAAAACTTTTATTAGCCAGCAGTAGGCATAATTTTGCAGTATCTTCTTGGTCTACTTTTATACATGTATTTTTTTGGTTCGTTATACAGGTGTAAAAAATCGGAATTAGCTAAGTATTAATTCTGGAGAAAAGATGGTGCAGGAAGACAAATAAATGCTGTAATTGGTTGACCAAATGTTTTAACAGGATATATCAATCAAACAGTTTCAGTTTTGCTGAAAAATATCAGCTTAAAAACATATGTATTTCTATTCTTTGATCTAACTATTCAGACAAATATTATTTTTTTTAGCTTTTCTTTTTTTTCTTTTTCTTTTTATTTTTTTTTTTTGCCGTTTTTCAAAGATAATCAGATGACAGTTGGAGCATAAGAAATAATAAACTGCTCAGCACATAACGACTTTTTTTCTGCATTATTTTATAATTGACATATTATGCAGAAAACTAAAACAACACCTCGACATTTGGTGGTGTATCTAAATTTGTAGTATAGAATAGAGGCTTCTGAGGTTTGCTGAATACTTAAAGACTGTTTAGAGCGCAGAAACTAACTGGAATAGTAGTAATCTAAAGATTCTGAGATAACTAATTTAGCAAAAATTCCAGGTTTATTTTAACTAAGTGCTCAGTAATGGACAAAATTCTGTTAATGAATAAAATATAAAGCTGAAAATGAAACTATTTTTTTAACATAAATCTTTTGGCCAACCACTGGAACAGGCAAAGGTGTCTGACTTTAAACAGCAATTCTGTACAAACTTTTTTAGCTGTTAGATGTTGATTAAATTATTCCAAATTAATCTTAGTTTACAAACTACAAATTTGATATGTTCAAAAGACATTTATAATTGTTCAGAATTTTTCGCTTGAAAATTTTCAGTTTTTCTGTTTTGGTCTATTTACACTCTGAACAGTCATACCTTTACGCTTATACATAGAAAGTGGTGGAGAATGAAGGAAAAAGAAATAGCAACATTAACAATAAAATTTTGTTATTTCCAGTCATCTTTTTTTTTTTTTTTTTTTTTTTT